AGACCACGCTTGTAGCCGGTGAAGACGGCCTTGGCAAAGAGGCGTCCGTGGCGCTTGTACTTCCTGGCGGAAACTTTAGCCTCGGAGGCGGCGGGCTTCTCTGCCTTGGGAGCTTTGGCGGCCTTGGGAGCCTTCTGGGCCTTGGCGGCCTTGGGCGCAGCAGCGGACTTGGCTTGTGTATCGGCCATGGCTTAGCTGTACATGAGAAAAGATAATCATTAGAATCGAAGGCATTCATCATAGTTATTCGTACGTTGGGGTATTGGGGGTTCGATCACTTTTATGACGAAAAATACTTAAAACATTTCAGATGTTGAGGTGCACAGCTCTGTTTGGACAACAGTATCAGACACTAAAAAAATCATTTTATAGCAAACAATAATACAAACAAATCAAACGGAGTCTAGTAATGCTTTATAAATTATAAACTTTAAGTGATGACAGGGAAGACGTGCTGGAAGTCTGTGACCCACTCACTAAAACACTATGATTTTCCACAAAATTTAAGTCTTGTTAAAAAATAAAGAAAAAGGGCAGACAACTGAACGCTGGGATATTGCAATCTTATAATGTGCGCAGTCTGAAGCGCTGAAATTTTGTGCGGCATCCAGCTGCCATCACGGTAGGATAGTCCATTCCTGGATTGTCCCAAAGGAACATTGAGATACAATCACAGATCAAGTCCGCCAGCCAATTTTTGTGCACGTGGGCTGGCGTTTGCAGGTTATTCCACGATTATTTGCTGTTTTCCCGATGTGCTGTTCGCCATATTAATGTTTGCGGAAACCCACCTTGTTGTTCGATGAATGAATTAACACCGCTAAAAATGAAAACAATATATTATTAAAAGGAAATAAACCCAGAAATTTATTTTACTTACTTCGCCGGAAACTGAAGCGAAAAGAAGGAAATAGTGTGGCTGTCGCTAGACGCCACAAAAACGCCTTATGTAAAAAGTAACAGCGTGCCGTTACCCAAAACTGTGCTGTTAGGGTCAATATAGAAGTATCAGTTTAAATGAAAATAAAAATAATAAAAAAAAAAAAAAAATTTAAATAAAAATAAGATAAAACTAATATATTAAAAAAGATACTAAGATATTAAACAAAGTTTAATATTTTAAACTCAAGATATCCATACTCGTGGGTTAAATCTTGCCGAATAAATCCTGTACGCTTATTGGCAAAAACTATAAAAATATATAATTTAAGTTCAAAAAGATTTTTCAGATTTTTTTATGCATTTAGATTTTAATGCATTACATTTTTACAAAAAAAAAAAAAGGATAATGCATTATCTTTTAGTACTTTGCTTATCCTTTATGTGTGCACAACTAGGAAATGATTCAGGAAATAATAATAAAATTATCCCTTAAAATAGTATATTTACCCCGCTGAATAGAAAACGTAACATACTTCATTCGTTGAATGAAAAGTATTTATAATAATAAAGTAATAAAGAAGTATAATAAAAGTATTTAGTAGTATGTATATACTTATACTCTCTTGTTTTATATTTTGATTGCATTATTAAATATTTTCAAATTTAAATTACCATTCTGAAAGATTTGCCCCTAAACTGTTATCGACAATCGAATGTGGTTATCGGCGACTCGACGCAATCGCGTAGTGTTTTTTTTCAGTGCCGAAAACAACATCAAAATTTTCATAACAATGTTGAGATTTTAGAGACAGCTACAAAATTGAGAAGCACATGTGCCCTGCTAGAGCGAACCGAACCTGAGAACCGATCGCCAGAAGAAGCCGCAGATTGTTGCATAAACCTTGCAGCTACCACGCCGAAATCGAAGAGGTGCTCCCCGGGATTCCGAGCGAACTTTGGATGCGCCGTGATGAGCTTGCTGGTGCAAGTGTTCAAGTGGGACCAGCGATGTCGCCTGCACCACCGGGTGGACATCCTTTTGCGGCGTGGCGTCAAGAAGCAGGCGGTGTATCCGACCAAGTGAGTGGGGTCCTGAATCTTCCTGAAAATTGCATAACACGTTATTTGTACAGACTTGCTGAGGTGGGTCGTCTAGTGGAGGCCCGCGACGAGCGCTACGAGACGGGCCAACTGTTCCTGCACCGCATCTTTGGTTACCGCGGCGTTATACTCTTCCCCTGGACAGCCCGCGTTTACGACCGGGATCTGCACAATCCCGGCAAGATCAGCGCGGCCACAACTGCGAGCGCCAATACGACGCAGCAGCACCGCACCAAAGAGGCTTCGCTTCGTGTGAAGGCCAACACCTCCGCTCCCCCGACGGCTGCTACCGCTCAGAACGGCGATGCCCCCACCTCGGCCGCCTTCCAGACGAACGCCGCTGAAGGCACCACCAGTGTGGGTACTGCGTCCCAAGTGGATCCCAAGGAGGTCAAAGGCAAGGTGCAAACCTTTTATCAGGTTCTCATAGACACCCGCGACTGTCCGTACATTGTAAGATATGCCGAACCCTGCTTCCTTCGGTTACTAATTAGGCAATTTGTGTATTGCAGCGCGCCCAGACCGAGGCGGTCACTTTTCTGGGCAACCAGGACTCCAATCGCAGCTTGTACGCCATCCCCGGGCTGGACTACGTGGCCCACGTGGACATCATGCCTTATAGCTCCAGCGAGAAGAGTCCGCTGCAGCACGAGTTGTTCGACAAGTTCCTTACGCACGCTCCGGAGGCGGACCCGCCATTCGTGGGCCAGGACACGCTGAAGGCGTGGCAGGAGAAGAATCATCCCTGGCTGGACATGAGCGATGTGCACAAGGAGACCACGGAGAACGTCCGCATTACCGTGATCCCTTTTTACATGGGTTGCCGCGAGACACCTGCTAGTTCGGTCTACTGGGTGCGTTAATAAGAAACGCTTTTCTTTGAAAAACGTAATAAAATACCTTTACAGTGGCGCTACTGCATCCGGCTGGAGAACCTTGGTGAGCTGAGCGTGCAGCTGCGCGAGCGACACTGGCGCATATTCTCATTGTCCGGAACCTTGGAGACGGTGCGCGGAAGGGGCGTGGTGGGCCAGGAGCCCATTCTGAGCCCCCGGTTGCCCGCCTTCCAGTACAGCAGCCATGTGAGTCTGCAGGCGCCCAGCGGCCATATGTGGGGCACCTTCCGGCTAGAGCGCGAGGATGGCTACTCCTTCGATTGCAAGATTCCGCCCTTCTCACTGGAGAGCAAACCGGACGACCTGGGGCCGCCCACACCGGCCACGCCCAGTGCCCACGATAAGAAGCGCGACGATAGCGATTAAGAGACAGTTGTTGACCCGTAGTTAAATGATTTTAAAACGCAATCTTTTCTGACAATGCATGCGTACATGTGTTTAGTGCAAATTACAATAATCAACAAGGACGCAGAGCCCGTTTCATTTCTCAGCCAAGTCGCACGTTCTTGGGTTCTAGCTGAATTGAAAAGTCAAAGGGTCTTCGGTTGTCGCGGGTGTCAAAAATGCTCTGCAGAGCGTCGATCGCCGCAGTTTCTGTGGCTGTTTTTAGATCCTCGCCGAATCCCTTGCCCAGCAGCTGGCGATTGGCGTAGATGCCTACTTGGTAGGCGGCTAGAACAGTGTTCTTTCCGCAGTCTCCAAGCAGGCGGGGCTCCGCTTCGCCCAGTTTTCGCTCCTGGCAGATCTTTTCCAGCACCTGGATTGGTTCTTGGGGAGTCCACACCTCTAACAGGTCCTTTTGATTCAGCTGCGTACATATAAAATCGCGTACAAAAAGAAAAGCCTTCTCAATTCCACTGGAACTCGCCAGTGCTCCAATAACTGCGTGTAAAGATTTGGCCATACTTTCGGCCGAGGGCGGGTATTCCGTGGACTGAATCAGATCCTTTGTGCCCAGGTGAGAGGAGACGTGAGCAAGGGTCTCGGTGCTAAGAAGAAAACTGGCGATCGCCTGGAGTCCGTCATTAGGGACCTTCGGTAGCTGGTGCTGCAGGAAGGCCTCGACGTAGGCACGGGCAATGCGCTGGCCCTTCTCGACCAGGTCGCTATTGTGAGGTATCTGGAGGTCAGACTCCTCAATGCCTAGCTGCCGACGCCGATCCTCCTCCCGCTGAGCAAACGATTTCTCTGTAAAGGCACGCTGCAGCTCCGATAGATCAAAGGATTCTCCCAAACGCTTGCTGAAAGCAAAGAGCTCCGAGCGCTGGTTCCACTCGATAAACCCCGCACGCCGCTCTGGTTTCTGTGGTCCTAGTTTCTTTTGCCGATGGGCGAGTTCACGTAACGTTGGCGAAACCCATCGTTTGATGTGGCGCCTTGTTTGCACTGCCCAAAATCACGATTACTGACTGGGATTAAGTGAGTCCAGATTACTTACCAGAGGTGGAGCCCTCCAGGAGCTTGACACGAGCCAGGAGACCAACGGCACTGCGTAAAAATGACATCTTTGAAGCGATCTTAGAAATAATTAACGAATATGTTTTCGCGCATGGGAGCCAGTGTTGCAGGTCATGCGGGTTTTTGTGGCAGTGATGGCCAGCTAACTGCCCATATGTAACTGATTAATTTCAATGGATGGTAATCTACATTTTATTAAATCTTTCTACTAATAATTTTATCCACAACAATAGAGTTTGTATATACTTTGGAAAAATATTATATTATCAATATTCTAGTCCCCAAACCAATTTTTTAGTTTTCTGTATCAAGCCTCGTAAAACCAAAAAAAAAAACACTTTTAAATATAATACTATTTATTTTAACATTAATGTAAAATTTAACAAATTAATTGCAATGCAAAATGTTTTCGGTTTCTTGTCTAGGTTTTTGCAGCTAGGAGGCGGCAGCACTGAATTACGTTGGTGGCACCCGCGCGTTTTCGAATTTTTTAGTTTTCTGAATCAAGCCTCGTAGAACCAAAAAAAAAACACTTCAAAATAGAATACTTGTATATTTAAACATTAATGTAAAATTTAAGAAATTAATTGCAATGCAAAATGTTTTCGGTTTCTTCTCTAGGTGTTTGTAGCTAGGAGGCGGCAGCACTGAATTGCGTTGGTGGCACCCGCGCGTTTTCCAACACTTCCGCGATAGACGCCATGTATGTATATGCCTGTGTTTGTGTGTGCGGTAGGAAAATTTAAGTCGCCGAATATTAACAAGGAATCCCACCGAGAAACCGCGTATTGAGAGCCCAAGGAAGAAAACATACCCAACATGGCCCTACAGACGTACGGGGACAAACCAGTGGCTTTCCAGCTGGAGGAGGGCGGCGAGTACTACTACGTGGGCTCAGAAGTGGGCAACTACATGCGCCACTTCCGAGGTATTCTGTACAAGAAGTACCCGGGCATGACCCGCATCGTCCTGTCCAACGAGGAGCGGAAGCGGCTGGCAGAGTCTGGCCTCAGTTCCCACATCCTAGCCAGCTCTGTCTCGCTGCTCCGCGCTGTGGAGGTGGACGATATCATGGCCGGCAACGATGAAAAGTAAGTCGGGGGTGTCAGTCACAAAAGTCTTACCTAAATAATATCCAAAACATAATAACTATGTAGAACAGTTTCGATAAATACCATTAAACACTAAAACAGTCGTTAATTTCTTAATTTTAACGTACATTCTGAAAAGGTTTTGAATCTTTTAATCATCTTTGTTTAGCAAATATAGCTCTTTACATGCATATGTAACTACAATAAATGCATACCCTAAAAGACACCTCAGACTGAGTGAACTGGAGTAGCTTATTAGTGTCAATAGTAACAATTGAATCCTTCATCAAATATACATATGTATGATTGACAATGATTTTCAAATAAGCACAAACTGCTTTTCAGAAAGCCATATCCCTTTTGCCTGTCTTTATTGCCAATCAGCCAATTTGCTTATAGTTGCTATAACTAACCATGAATCTCCGTCCTAGGTATCGCGCTGTCTCCGTGAACACGTCCGATACGCCTGTGCCACGTGAGAGCAAGTCGAAGAAGCAGCCGCAGTATGTGCCAACGATGCCCAACTCCAGCCACCTGGACGCAGTGCCGCAGGCCACGCCCATCAACCGAAACCGAGTGCACACGAAGAAGGTTCGCACATTCCCGATGTGTTTCGACGACACGGATCCCACAGCCAGCCTGGAGAATGCGGCGCAGAAGGAATGCCTGGTGCCCATTCGACTAGACATGGAGTTGGAGGGTCAAAAGCTGCGCGACACTTTCACATGGAACAAGAACGAGAGCATGATTACTCCGGAGCAGTTCGCTGAGGTTTTGTGCGACGACTTGGACCTCAATCCCCTGCCCTTTGTGCCGGCTATTGCACAGGCCATTCGACAGCAGATCGAGGCCTTTCCCAACGATCCCCCTATCCTCGAGGAAAGCTGCGACCAGCGGGTGATTGTCAAGCTGAACATTCACGTGGGCAACACCTCGCTCGTCGACCAGGTGGAGTGGGACATGTCCGAGAAGAACAACAACCCAGAGGAGTTTGCCATAAAACTCTGTGCGGAACTGGGATTGGGAGGAGAGTTTGTCACAGCCATTGCCTACAGCATTAGGGGTCAGCTATCCTGGCACTGTCGAACATACGCCTTCAGTGAGGCCCCTCTCTCGACGATTGATGTGCCCTTCCGGAACCCCAGTGACGCTGACGCGTGGGCCCCATTTTTAGAGACGCTTACCGACGCCGAAATGGAGAAGAAAATCCGCGACCAGGACCGCAACACCCGCAGAATGCGTCGACTGGCCAATACAACAACTGGTTGGTGATCTTCCGCTGATCCAGCAACATGTCACTAAAGTAATCCTCCTATTAAGTACCATTATAAATCTTGAATAAATGTGTGTCTGCCGATTTTAAAAGGAATTGTCTTTTACGCTACTCCCAGAAAGATTTTTGTCTTTTAAGTCCGCCCAAAAAAGTTGTTCCCAACGATGTTACAAAATAACTTTCTGCTCTTTACTGCTTACACAAATCTCTAATCCTTATTCTACATTATCCAATACTAACTCTCTGCCGAATCGGGCTTGTCCTGGTCTTGATCGCCGTCGTAAAACTCGTTCTTGGCATCAACTATCTTGTCTTCATCGGCCACGGACATTCGCACGTCGGGATCACTCGCCTCTTCCCGGTTGTTGCGCAGCTCCTCCAAGTCCACATCTGGCGGGGTTTGCACCATTTGGACGCTAGGCGAGTGCTGGCACATCTTAAGGTTTTCATACACATGCTTTACGATAAGTTCCAGATACTGCTTTGAGTTTGCATTATCTTGGCGTGAGTTGATCTCAGGATGGAGCGTAAAGTCGGGGGCGAAGAAGTCGTAGTACTCGGTGGCGGGGAGATCATTTTCAATGTCTTGGTCCACAAGCAGTGATGTCTCATGTGTCCAGCAGCGGGCCACGTTCCGCAAGGTGTAGCCCCCGCCTCCGACCACCAATGTGGGTACGTTCAGTTCTTTCACAAACTTGACACACTCTCCATGTCCCTTGGTGCTCAGGGAGAAGCAACCTAGTCGATCTCCTGCTAGGGAATCCGCACCACATTGCAAAACGATAGCCGTGGGGCGGTAGAAGTCCATAATGGCCGATATGATTGGTTTGAACACCTGGAAATAGCTCTGGTCATCAATGCCCTCCTTTAGCGGCACATTCACGCTGTAGTATCGTCCCGATTCGGCGCCTATCTCGTACATGTCTCCCGTGCCGGGGAAAAAGTAGTTTCCATATTTATGGAACGAAGCCGTCATTACTCGGTCCGTAAGGTAGAAGGCCTCCTGCACCCCGTCGCCATGATGCACATCGATGTCGATGTAGAGCACCCGAGGATGGTACTTCAGCAGCTCCAGAATGCCGATAACGATGTCATTCACGTAGCAGAACCCGCTTGCCTCGAACTTCTTGGCGTGATGCAGTCCACCTGACCAGTTTATGCATATGTCGCTGTGGTTGTGGTTCAGCTTCTGGGCTCCCTCCAGCGAGGCACCCGTGTACATTGCACAGAAGTCGAAAAGGCCATCGAACACGGGACAGTCCTCGCCTACGCTGAAGTGCGCCAGGTACTTTGTGTAGGCCACCGCTGAAGGAGAGAAAATAGATAATAACTGTACATGCAAATTTGCGTTGCGTTCCAATTAGGCGTTCTACTTACAATTGCACTGGATGTTTTGTGGAGTCACTTGCTGTAGGTAGGCAATGTACTCGTCGCTGTGGAAGCGAAGCATGTCCTGCGCACTGGCTCTGCAAAGGATTGCGGTTTAGGATAGATTACAGGATACACCTCTCTGACAACCTACTTGTACGGCCTGTAAATCTTCATTTTCTTGTGCAGTCCGTAGTTCATCACCAGGCTGTGTGTGACCGCCAGGCGCTGCGGCTTCATTGGATGCCCGGCTCCATAGTGGAAGTTGCCCACGTCCGCGTTGTAGAAGTATGATACCCTCCGGTCCGTCATCGCATCAACCTTTTTAATGGGATCGGATCCTGTTGGGACGCCGTAATCCCCTAGTTGTAGTACAAATCCTCGCCAGGCAGCAAGTACGTCTTCGCATACAGGACTATCAGCAGAACGGCCACGATGAAAAGGAGTCGTCGGGTTGTGTCGTATTCGCCCAACAGCATGCCGCCTCCCTGGTCACTGGACCCACAGAAAATGCACTGGATATCTTTATTTAAGCGCGGGAAATCAATTTGCAAACTTATTGCTAATTGAAGACAGCTTAAAGCGGCGTGTGTCGATAATTTACTAAAAATACCCGTAGTTAGTGATGTGCACATGGGCAGGTAGAACGCACAGTCACGACACGAGAGCATCCCTATGCGTTGTAAACAAAATATCGACAACCACAACTAATTGAGTCTCCCAAATAATTTGTTTTGATAAGTTCATCACTTCATAATATATACTTGGGTTAATAATGCCTTTTGGCATTTGCATGTTAAACTTAAGTTTCATTTCCAAATCTTAAGCATTAAATGGAATGAATACAAGAACTAAAGCTTACCAGAAAAACCCGCCAGACGTGACGGAAAACCGCCTGGCCGGCAGCACTGTAAACGCCTGCCGCGCTTTTCTTATCGGAAACATTCATGGATAAGCTTCGTCCAGTTGGAGTGGAATGCAGTAATCAACAATAAAAGCCAGTGTGCAAGGAAATGAAGAAAGTGTGTCAACTGGCTGAAAACGGCGAACCAGGAAGAGCTCCTTTCGGCCTTAGCAACCGATAAATCCGGCAGCCGAGAGAAATCGAAGCAAATTACGAAACCGCCATTGATTTTGGTTCCAATCAAGATGTCACTTGTGCCCTGGCGCAAATAGTCCCCGAAAAACGTTGAGTCCGCGGAGGAAGCAGTACGCACACAAAATCTGCGATGTTGACTCTGTATTACGTGAGTGCCACCGTCCTGCAGTCCTGGCGCATTCAGAAGGCCTGCTCCAAGATCGCCGAGCACCTCGCGCAGCCCTCGAGCATCGCCTTCTACGCTCTCCAAGCGGGCAGCGATGACGGATTCGGTAAGTGACGTTGTCATTGGAGAGCGATGCAGCTTATGTATAAAGATGCCCCTCCTTTCTGCCCAGATCCCGCCCTGGCCAGCTCCGAGCTGTGCGGCAACCGGAACGCGGCCAAGGTCACGGACATCCTGTGGCTGCACGCCAACCAGCGGGGCTGCTGCCTGCGTCCGCTGCAAACGCTACACATCACGCCTTGGATCAGCTTCCCACCGGCACCCAGTCTGCTGCCCTTTTCCTATTCCCCCGACACTCTAACGCCGGTGTCCACGCCCACGGAGGCGGACGTCCCGCGCAAGCAACGGGTCTCGCTTTCTGCGCAAGGTGAGGAACGGATGCAGCTGCTCCTCGAGGCCCACATAGAGCCACTACAACCGCCCAGTTCCGAGGACAGAGCAGCAGTACGGGTAAGAACTTTATTTTGCGGGCTTGCGAATTTATGTTTTAAATGTATTAGCTGCCACAGAATACATACATATTTAAAAATTAATATTTGGATGTATCACTATTGACTCGTATACATTTAAGGGAGTTTTTTTAATGCACTTTTAACTAGTTTCAATAAGTATCTTAAGAATGCCGAAGAGGTTTTCGTAATTAAAGTTAACCCACTTACTATCATTAAAACACTAGATAGGGTTCTTTACTTTTCAACTTAAGGGCTAAAATTTGCTAAAACGCCGCAATATGAACGGAGGTGCGTGCGGTGATCTTATTAAGATATACATGTACATGGTTGAATCGATAGAGCGCTGGCGCAATGCATACATACATATGTAGGTTTGCTAACCAAGGTTATCCTTTCGTGTGTCCTCTCTTCTTCTTGCATGTCGGGGGCCAATGAATCAGCTGGAAGATTACGGTAAGCTAATTGCATGGAAAATAGACTCCCACCTGGCGGTGCTCATCGAGACAGACGTCGAGCACTTCACGCAGCTTTTGATAACGACTTTCTTGCGAAATAACTTATGCATTAACGATCAGCTGCCACTTTTGCGGATTGAGTGTAAGCTGCGCCTGAAATCGTTTTAAGGATTTGACTTCACTTGGAATCCCACTGACTTATTGTTTCTCCATCCTAGCGGTGCAACGGGAAGGAGATCCACAGCCCTTTGAGTTGCTGGCCAAGCATCTGAAGCGGCAATCTCGGATAAGCGTCGGTCTGGACAAAGATGGATGGAAGAAGCACTTGGAGGACTTGCGAGCTGTAGGGGTGCTGGCGCACCAGGCCACCGAATTCGAGTACCAAAGGAATCGCTCTGAGGGAAGAACGAAATCGGATCCCATCACGCATGATCATCGCCCGACTTCAGAGCTCGTGGCCAAGGCGGTGGCTGTGGTGGAGCCCACCAACAAGGCATATCTGTCTCCGGCAAGGATAACAGAAGCTTCCCTTAAAGCTGAGGCCAAGGGACCGCCTACAAAATCTCCTCCTACTAAAAGCGATGCCAAACCCACTCCTGCCAAGACCGAGGACAAGCGAATCAGAAGCAAAGAGGACTCCAAGCTAACGCCAACCAAGAATGAGTCGAAGCCAAGCGATCTAGAGAAGCTAGCGGGAGTGCAGGCAGTGCAGCAGCAAGAAATAGACGGAGTGCAGGCTACTTCCTCAACTAAGCCACCAATGCTAAGTAAACTTGATGCGCCTGCTAAGACATCAGATCAGCCAATAAAGCCCAGGAAATCCTTTGAGGCGGTAAAGCCTTTAAATTCTCCTCCGTCAGATGCTCCCTCGCGTCCTGTGCTGCAACGCAACAAGGATAGCCTGCAGGATGCCAAACCCCTGAACGTGTTGGTTTACTCGGACAGTGCCAGTGCCCGGGAATCCACATTGGCCACTCTGCAGCAGCTACTAGAACGCAATGTCTACACCATCTATCCTCTGATGCCTCAGCAAGCGGCTCAAAAATACTGGACGGAACAGACTGCATTGCTGGTCGTATGCGGATCGGTGGCACCCGGAATCGGACAGATATTGGTGGACTACTTTCTGCAGGGCGGCAAGGTGTTAAGCCTGTGCTCGGATATACTGCACTTTGTACTCCCCAACTATCGCACAGCGGAGGTAGGACCCTATTCTGCTCCTTACCCTTAAATGCGCAGTCTAAAGGTTGTGTTTTATATAATTTTTCGCAGGTTCGAGAGCACGAATTGGTTCAGTTCTCCTATGACAAATGGCAGCGGGTCAAGATGATGCACCACATATTTTGCTACCAGCCGTCGCCGGTGAAGAAACACTTCTCGACGGACAGCGAGGAGTCAACCAAGTCGCACTCCCGCAAACCGTAAGTAGCTATTGCTGCTTCCATCCACACTGGGAAGCAGCGGATGGCAGTGTCCAAGACTTATTGCTAACCTTGCCGATCTATTAAATAGTGCAAAACCCCATAACTGAGTATCAGTGTACTTTAATCCCAAATTTTGCATGTTTTATACAACCGAAAGCCCTAATCAAGTAGCTTATTGCACATGCGGCGGATAAATTTCGGTGAAGCGGCTTTCGAAATGATTACACGCTACTTTCTATAACCCTTGCAGAAGGTTTTACATTCCAGTCAGAAGTTGGCAGTACCATAAAAAGTATATATATTCTTGATCAATTTTTGTCCGGTTCTACGCAAAGTAGCCTCTTAGTTAAAAAGATGTCTGCATGAAACTTTCCCAAAAGACTTCTTTCTATCGCAGGTAGTTCTTTTTAAGGTGGAAAGGGACGGAAATAATTTAAAAGCATCATGCAATTACAATATATCATTTCACTTTTAGCTTGATTAAAATATTATGAAACTGCAATGGGCTTCCGATATACATTAGTTGTTTTTCTACACATATATTATTACTGCAAGGGTATGTGAGTTTCGGCTTGCCGAAGCTAGCTTCCCTTCTTATTTTGGTTATACTCTTAATATTACCTTTTCTGAATGGGGCTTGTTAACCAAATCAAAGCAAGACAGCAAATTAGTGTGATCCAACATTTTCTAATTAATCGTTTTATACTAAACCGTTTTTAACTAATTCCAATTCTCATTTTATTTCTCAAATGTTTCATGCTAAAATTGCTCTCGTTTACTCTAAATATGGCTTCATTTCTATTTGATTCGGTGTGCACTGTAATCCATTCAAAACCCGTTTTTTATCCGCATAACTAACTGTTTTCTTTAATTTCATGTAAAATGATATTTTACGTAAATTACTTGTTGTAAACATCATCCTTTTCAAACCTTTACATCTCCTACTACGTTTACTTTGCGATCTGCGAGCTCGATTCCTTTCTCGCCCTTCTGTATCCATAAATTACTGCGTGTGCTTCTATGTGTGTGTGCTATCACTATTATAATCCTACCTACCATTAACCAAAATAAAAACAAACCAAAAACAAACAAAATCGTAAAAACACAAAATCAAACCACGAAACGCTGCTCAGAGCTCTAGTATGTCCAAGGTCCATGGAACTGAAGGATCTGGCCGGTCACAGCCACCATTTGGATGTCCAGGTGCTGGGAACCGAGGAAACCTGGAATACGCCTAGCTTGATGTTGGCCAAAAGCCTGCAGAGCGGAGGAAAGGCCGTCTTCTCCCAAGTAAGTGCTTGCTCTTAAATATGTAATTTAATTAAAACACGCCGCTCCTTTGAAATAAACAGGTTCATTTGGAAATGAATCCCAGCGAATTCGAATCTGATGAGACTAAGTACTCCATTCTGAAGCAAAGCGAGCGAACTCGCCTCGAGATATTTGCGGATCTCTTGGGAAAGTATTTGGATGTGCAGGTCCGCCGTGGAGAGGGCGTCGACCAGCCGCAGCCTGGAGTGGTCTACAAGCACGCATATTTTCTCGGTCGGCACGAGGTCAGTTCGTCTTTTTACTTGTTTTGGTGTCAGAATCAAACATCTTTTCGTTTATTATTCAGGCCAAGTTTGAGCTTCTGGAAAAGCTGCGTCTGCGCTGCAGCGGATCCGACAACGTAATAGCCACGCCAAACCTGACGATGAAATTCTGTGGCAAGGACGATAAGCCTCCAGTGGCCAACAACAATGTCCTGCCCATACTTATACATTCCTGTCCGGAGGACTTCTCCACCGTGGATTACTTTGATGTGCGCTCATTCTAGTCAATTGAAGAATTCAATCTATTAAAAATCCTACTATTTTAAAGAATCTTAAAACGGAACAAATCGGACGACTGGTTATCTATGCACCGGTAGTAAGCAGCTCCATGCATCTCATAAACAACCTGGAGCTCATCAACGGCCTGGCTGTGCTTCCCGTGCAACAGACCTCTGGAGTGGGTCGTGGAAATAATCAAGTAAATATTTTAGATGTCTTCAGATTTCAGTTCTTGTTGAAATCATCCTCTTGCGCTTTTCAGTGGCTTAGTCCCCCGGGCTGTGCCATGTTCTCGCTTCAGCTGCACCTGTCCATGGACTCCGCTTTAGGCTCTCGGTTGCCTTTGTTGCAGCACCTAATTGGAACGGCGATTGTCAATTCCCTCCGGGGTCATGAACAGTACGGGGTGAGTTTAGATTGTAAACTTGTACCATTTGGTAAGGCATTAATGAGCCTATGTTTCGATTATGAGCATGTGGATAATCAAGTCCAAGGAGACAAGCTTCAGATCTTGAAAAGTTCCAACAAAGTGCACACAGCGATAGTTTTTAAGTTTGATAAGTTTATTTGACATTTTCTTGATTTGCATTTAAAGTCCATTTACTATATACACTTGATCATACGTAATTCACAATATATATTTAGTTAAACTCTAGTTCGTCATATACATTATGTATATGTACATGTACATATATAGAGTTTCACTTACACCTAATTAACAATTTACAAATTGCTCACCTGATTAACGTTTACATTTATATTTGCCACAGTGCTTGGTTGTTTTTTCAGTTTGCCTATGCTCTTAAACATTTAAGCGTTTTGTCTTTTTCGATTTAACATTTGATTTGCCTTAGTTTTGTTTGCTAACAACTGCAACTGAAGTGCTCCTGATACATGCGTACATATGTAGTTCTAAAATCAATTGCTATAATTTGGTAGTTACGTTTAGGTATTTACAATCTTCGCTCGATAGAACTTCGCTCAGGAGTTGGTAACAAAGTGAGCTAGCTTAGTTGGTAGGTCGAAATTGTACTAGACAGTGACAGTGACTGTGACCAGGAAGCAGCTCCTTCAGAACACAGACTCGGCGGATCGGGAGAGGTTGACAGGGTGGGAGGGACTGCGCGCCAGACGCTTCTTGGGAAGATGCTCCAGCAATGATAGCAGACGTGCGAACTGCGGTCGGTGCTCCTTCTCGTACGTCCAGCACAGCATCAGCAAGTCTTTGACATCCCGTCCAGACTGCAGGTTGGCCAGCGACTGCTTCATCCCACGGCCAACCTGCCAGATAATCGATTCCGCCGGCTGATCCTTGAACGTGAACTCACCGCAGATTAGCTCGTACCAAACTGTTCCAAAAGAGTAGACATCCGAGTATGGGGTAAACTCCAGACACTCTCCACGCGGCTTTTCCGGCTGCAATGCTCGGATAAGCTCCGGCGCCAGGTAGCACAACCAGTTGTGGGGCACCCCTAGGCCCATATCACAGTAGAGCAGCTTGGTGGAGCTAAAGAGCCCAAAGTCCGTGATAATAACCTTGCCGTTCTCTATGAAAATGTTCTTGGTGCGCAGATCCTTGTGGATGATCTCTCTTGCGTGCAGGTAGCCCATACCCTGGGCGATCTGCTGGGCAATGAGGAGAGTTCGGTTCATGGCAAACTTCTCCCGACGCTGGTGAATATACGTATACAAAGTGTTGCCCTTGCACAGGGAAGTCACAATGGCCAAATATGGTGGGTTCATGCAGGCTCCCATGAACAGCACCAGATTCTCGTGTCGAGTGTTTTTGAAGTTGGCTACCTCGCTGCGAAAGGTCTCCAGCATGTGTTCGTCCTGGAGATAGTCCTCGTTGAGCAGTTTAACCGCCACATCTCCGTGCCACAAGGCTCGATGCACGGTGCCAAAGCGTCCCTGCCCTATCCGCTCGAGCAAAAGCAGATCATCATATGGGATGTCCCATTCTTTGAGTGAGATAGAGTTCTGACGCCATTGTCCCGAGTCTCCGTCTTCCGTTGAATCCACCCGAACGGGTGTTCGGTCCGAGTCCGTGCTGGCACTTCCAGACAAGGAGACTGTCTTGTCGCTGTCATTTGACTTGTGGGTGTCCGTGTACTCGCTGGTGAAAGGCGTCCTCTTATCCACTCCGGCTGTGCTTAATTTCCGCGGAAAGAAACTGCTGGTGCTGGTGGTGGTTGTGCTGTTAACCAGACTACCCGTCAGGGTGGCAGCAGTAGAAGCGTTTGAAGTTTGGCTACCGATAAGGGAGCTCATGTGCCCATTGGAGCTGCTCACCAGACTATCCAGTCCTCCATTGACTGTAACAGGGGCGGTGGGAAATTGGTCTGCCACTGGTGGCGATACACCACCGCTTCCGCCACTTCTCGTCACCGTCACGTTTGGAAAGTTGAATTGACTCGGCTGGTGCTTGCCAAGCGAAGGCGTAGGTAACAGATTGGCGCTAGAGCTGCTGCCAGCCTGATCCAGTTCGCGCTCCCTTTGCTGGAACAGCGCCGGACTGCTTGGCGTGGAACTAGTGCAGCTGGAACTCGGCGAACTGCTGTCGCCGTGCTGGTTATGCAACGGCTTTCCAAGGGTGCTCTTCTTCACCAAAGGTGATCCTTTCGCCGCGCCGTGCACATGCGGCAGACTGGCGTATCCACCCTGCTCTTTTATGTGCCGAAACTCGTCTACATATTCTCGTGGAAGTCCGCAAGAGGGCGGCACGTGTGAGGCGCATGATTTGTGGCAGATGTACTTGCAGTCGATGCACTTCATCCAGCGGTGAAAGACCTGCTTCTGGCATAGTGTGCAGGTGGCCATAAAGCCCAAGGCCTTGGTGAAGCGATGCTTGATTGCATGACCCATGCCCACGTGACCCACGCCCGGGGAACATGGCACCATAAGCACGTTTGAGGAACTTCCTCCGGAGCTGGCATTAGTATTTGCGTCCACGAAGATGTCCGAGCTGGTTGAGCTGTGGCTATCGGGGCTGGGATCAGTGGGCAAACGGTTGCGGGCTAATTGATCCCCGTCCACTTGCACATGGCTCTGGCTTAGCAAGGTCTGGTGCTTTCTTGTTGGTGGCGGGGTACCACGACTCCTCTGCGGTGTTCCGTTAAGGCTGCTGCTCAACCCACTGGAAGGTGTGAAGGGCGAGTTGGGTGGCGAGGGCGTGAGGGTTAAAGTCAGCTGGGAACCCTGTGTGCTGTTCAGCTCTTCCGTCGCTGAGGGCGATTGCCGGCCACTTTTGGAGCTAGTGCAGTTGGCCAAAGCGGAATTCTTTCCCTTGATACCATGCTGGCGATGATGGGTTCTTGGGGAGGCGGTTGAATTGTGACCCAGTCCAATATTTCCCACACTGCCGCGGTGAATGTGGATGGGCCTGTCCCAGGAGTCCCAGTGCCACTGCTCTGGATCGTTGTTGCTGGCCGCAGTACCGCTCTCCAGCGACTCCACGCACTTTCTTAAGTTCTGCATGGCCCTGGTCAGGCGTCGCAGTTCCTCCTCCTCTCGCTGACTGGGGCTGTCGGCCAGGAGCTGACGGATCTCCTCGTCGCTGAGGCGCAGGCTTTGCTCAAGAGTGGTCAGGCGAGCGAGGCAGGCGGTAAGAGTCTCTTGGCTCAGGCCCACTACGCGGAGCCATTGCCTCAGTTCGTTGCCCGTTGCGTGGGGCACAAGCCCATTGGCCGGGATGCGCTCGTTTAGACGCATCTTCGCCAGCAGCAGCTCGGAGAAGTAACGCACCAGCTTAGACTCCAGGCAACGAATCTCCTGCTGTGTCAGCGTGGAGCTGATCGCGCACTGCGTTCGCAGGCCCTCCAGATGGTTGGCCGAGAGATCAATCATGTCCTGAATGATAACCAGATTGCTGTCCACAGACAGCGAACCGGAGATGGGATCGTTGGCGTTGGTGGAGCCGGTGTCTGGACCTGATGCGGGGGCGTTGTTGTTGCTGCTCATCCTGCTCATTCGCGGCAGAGTGGAGCCCGATTGATTTTTTCAGACGTCCTCTCGGGGACTCGACGATTCGATGGGACCGGCTGGGACTACGCCCCGCATTGTGGCCCTCGTCAAGCGACCTTGACGTTCGCTGCTCCGGCTTTCGCACACTTAGGCCCGCAACTCGAGACGGCTCAGGGAATGCGAAAAGACGAAAAATTTTACAATTTCCTCGACTGTTGTTGAAATTTCTCTACACCCAAGTAGCGCATCGAGAGAAGTGTGACCGTACCCTGGAGGACTTCTTAGCTCGGCGCATTGAAATGTACTAAAAACACTTCCGAAAAAGTACGTTAGGGGCACTCCACAGTAATAAAGAAATATAATATATATATATTTCATAAAATATAAATATTGTAATATTTTAATTATAAAATGTTTTCGTGTGTATATATTTATATATGTATGTACGATTTGTAAAATGTTCGAATTAGCCACATATTAATATTTATATTTTATTAGTCGAAGTAAGAAATTAGCCAAATAATATTTGTATTTTAAAGGTAGAAATATTTCATTAAACAATTTTACATTTGATTTTCCTATTTATATTTTATGATATTACTAAGAACCTCGTCGTCGTTTTCTTAATATATTGAAATTACCTTCAGGTGCTGGATATTTCTATAAAGTGGCCGAATGACATATATGCAAATGGAAATCAGAAAATTGGGGGTCTCGTCATTAATACCACACTTCAAGGTTCCCAGGCCATCGTCAATATCGGAAGTGGAATTAATTTGGACAATTCAAAACCAACAGTTTGCATCAATGACTTGATACGAGAATATAATGCCCGTGTCCCGAACAACAAGTTACCTATACTTAAGTATGAAATACTTATTGCCATGATATTCAATGAAATCGAAAGACTTTTGGCAGAAGTACAAAACGGAGACTTTGATAGTTTTTATGTCTTATACTATTCGCTCTGGTTACACAGGTAAATCAAACATATACAAAATATATTCAATTTACATATTAATATATATTTATTTACATTTTTATTCATGTTTAGCGGGCAATCCATTAAGATTTGCCTACAAAACGATCAGGAAAAAGAAGCCGAAATTGTGGGAATTGATGACTTTGGATTTTTGAAGGTGAAATTACCAACTGGAACCATAGAAATTGTACAGCCCGATGGAAACAGCTTTGACATGTTGAAGGGATTAATTATACCCAAGTACCAATAGTGAAATGAAAGCAGATGTGAAAACTCATATTATTCCCCGAATCATCTAGTTTAATTGACCCTTTATCAAATTGTACTTTTTATTTTAGGAAAATTTAGGGAAATGTATAACTACTTAAATACGTGTATCGTTATTAATATTTATATGGTGCTTCTCCTTAAGTGGTTTCACCAAATTTGCTATTGCTTGAATTGAGGAAAACTTTAAAAATATGGATTCCACTAAATTTAATACTGCCAAAGAGAATTATATGTTATTGGAAATCTCCAATTATTAATAATAATAGGCAATAATTCCCTATACCCCAGTGTTTTGAAGTTACTTCGTAAGATAACCGTGTTCGTTACCAATGTTATTGCCATCGATTCCTTTGCATATGGGTGTTTTTGAAATTTGAATTTAATAAATATGTATTCGATCATTGCGGACCTTAGAGCACTGGAGTTTTATATTTTCCCATTAAATAACACGGGTTTTTAATAGATTTCATTATGAGTTTATGTTTATAATCCACGTAATCCTTATTTTAGGAAAATATTTTTTTTTGAAAAACAATCTACTATTTTTATATTCAAATCACATTTTCTTGTTTTTGAACTGAAATGTTTGAGACTGATGAGCAGTGTACTTTCCTATAAAATTATTAACACTGGTGATTCAGAGACTTAGTATTATTCTACTTATGCAAGCTGGTAACACTGTTGCTTCGCTGGAAAAGAAAATTGTGGAATAAAACGAAGTCTGCGGCATTAGGAATTATGTCACAGCGAAATCACAGAGTGGACCGCTTCGCCCAGATGACGAAGCAGGAGGAGATTATAGCCAAGAAGCGGCAGGAGATCCTCGAGAAGCAAAAGACGGCACAGCTGGCGAAGGCGGTGGCCGCGGCGCAGAACTTGGCAGCGCAGCTGAAAACCGAGACGCCTGCAGGAAAACCAATTGGCAACGAGGTGGAGGAGGAGGATGATGCTCGATACCTGGACACCGCCCCCCAGGACACCTCTCTAATCGATGGCGAGGAGGGTAATGGCCTAGAGGCTGTTCACATTGAGAACATGGCCAGCAAGGGAAAGTTGGAGGAAGCAGTGGCCCCAAAGACGCTCAATAGCTTCACCGGCAAAACGGGCAAGATCACATTTGGCCTGAAGCGTCAGCAGCTGCCGCAGCCCACTGTGGAGCAGCCACCACCGAAGGTAAAGAATACTTTCTGCAACGATGGTTCCTTTTTGGAGAATTTCAAGAAAATACTAGAAAAGCACGAAAAGCCTCCGCCGTCCTTGATTGTTCCGCCTGTTCCTGTGCCCAGGTGAGTGTACTACGCGAAAATATATGTATATGTATTTATATATTTGTCGGTAATTATAGCGCCGAGGAGAACAATGCCGTGGAGAAGGAAACATCAGAGCAGAACAACAGTCCCCAGCTAGAGGCGGCCATCGCCATAAGCTCGGCAGCATCCATGGCTAACTCCATCACGGTGACCAGCTCGGCGCCAACTCACTTAGCCTTTGGACTACCCGTGCAAGCAGTACAGCCACCACCGCCGCCGCCGTTTTTCAATCCTACGCTTTTGCAACAGGGACCACCGCAGATGCAGCTGCCAGCTGCATTCTTCCACGGCCATCTGCCTCTGCACCTGCATCCGGCGGCAGTAGCTCCTCCCCCACCTCCACCGCCTCCACAGCTGCCGATCGCTTTAGCGAACATGGGACCGATTTACATGCAGCTTGGACCGTCGCCAGTGGAGGCTATGCAGCTGAATGCCATACCGGCGCCAAAGGAGTTTGACTTGAATGCCATACCTAAGCCGCAAATAAATCTGGAGGCTATACAGATGCCCACCATCGGCGGTCACTCGGCGGAGCAGCTTGGTCTCCTAACGGACCGCATGTCCATGCCAGTAAATCCACACCCACCGCCACCGCCGCCGCCTGTAGTGGAGGATATGGAGCTACAGCACCAGCAGGTGGCATCTCCACATCCACCTCAGCCCACAGCTGTCCCGCCTCAAGGTGTGTAACACTTGCAAAACAGTCCTCGTTGCCTGTTTTGTTTTGCCATCGCCATGCCCTATCCATATCCAACATCTATCCTCTCCCTCATTTTAACAACTTGCAACGTCCCACTCATTCAATTTGTATAGAACTTTAATCGTTGAGCACGATTTTAAAGCAATTTATGTAGTTTTTTCAGAAACGTGCATACAATTGCCAACGTGCTTAGAAAACCTAATCGCACTGGTCGCGGAAAATGGTGAAGATTATGAAGATAAAATACGTTTGCATAGAAGCGAGTTGCATCCGGCCTTGTGGTAAATGACCTAAACATGTTTTAACTGGGACTAGTACTGGCACCCAAGGAAAGGGTCGTTGAAGGCGTACAGCTTAGGGATTGGGCTTGGCACTTTATTAGTTGAGACCTAACCAGGAAATTGTCCACGTTAATTTATTATTTTCACAAGTAGAATCCATTCAAGTACATTGCCAGCTCTTTAGGATAGGAAGTTCTAAAAATCAGTCCGATTTATGTTTTTTTTTTTTTTTTCAATTATACTATATTTACATGACATTTTGAATTTACTTGTTAGACGCACCAAATTCGTTTCGCTTACTCAATTATGAATTTACAATCACAAACATTGGACGATACATGTAAATATTTTACTGTGATGCGTTTTAAGATATTTGTCTGCTTAATAGTACCAAATGGTAGCCAGAGGGAATGTTATTGGGTTCAAAGTATTTGCATTTATTTTTGCATTATATTGAAATATATGACTAACGGACCAACTTGATGGGATGGTAGTGTAGGAGGATAAGCCAGACCAGTCGCGTGGACTCATCGAGCGCACAGTGTTCCGTCGTTCCTCGATCGTCATCTAAAGTCTGGAGGAGCCAGCCGGCGGATGCCAACTAAAAATCTCTGAATAAGCCGCTATTGGGGCGCCTCAAACAGTTATTCATATAATGTATTTGTACACGTGACAAACGTCGAGCACTTTTCATTGTACGTTTCACTTCTTTTGAATTTTGGTAATAGGTTTCTTTATGATAAGAGCTGCGAGCAGTATCGAAGCTATCGTTCCCAACTCCTCGACTACAAACGGAAGCGCGCAGAGCGACAACGGGAGCGGGAGAATCAGCAGCTAAGTCGGGACCAGCAGCCCCAGTCGAAGGAACAGGAAGCACAACACCGCGAGGAGCAGCACAGCAACTCGGCGGCTGACAAGTACGACCCAGAGTCGGCCATCAGTGCGGACTTCGACTCGGATGATGAGTACATGCGGGGCATGATGGATCGCAACCGGGACAACATCAAGCGCCGCATAGAGTGTCGGAATGAGCTAAGTGACGAAGAAAGGCGCGAACGGGAGGAGGGTGCAGCCGGGGAACTTGCGGATGCCGATGACCAGGATGATCAAGACGACAAGGAGTCGCAGAGGCAGCGACGGAGGCGAGAGCGCAAGAGCCGCTGGGGCGAGAAAGAGCAACAGTTGCCATCCTCAAGTAAGTTTCTATACCCTTTATACTCTTTCGTGGAGTAGAATAGTTGCTGGATTCGTTGAAAAGTATGAAACAGACTCCTACAGTATATATATTTGTGAACTGGATCAGCCGAGTTGATCTGTCAGTGTATGTCTGTCCGTCCGTATGAGCTATTGATCTCTAGAAAGACGTAAAAGATAGACACTTCCACTCTAACGCGCACAAGTAATAGCTACAATTATGACGATATTGACAATCAATCCTTACTATTATCAGGCACATCGGGTAATTTTGGTAACCAAAATAAACCCATCCTGAGCAGCATCACGCGAACAGATCCCGCGCTGTTGCAGTATGCTCGGCTCAACTACGGATCGACTCAGCTGAGCGAGGAGCAGTGGAAGCAGTGCGAGGAGCACTACAAAGTAAACCTACTGTATCAGGACATGATGCGCAAGCGCCAGGAGATCGATCGGCTGGCCCGTGGCGGTAAATTTAAGTACGAATATGACTCGGACGAGGACATTGAGGGCGGAACGTGGGAACACAAGTTGCGAACAGCCGAAATGGAGGCCACATCGCTGTGGGCCAACGCCCTGACCAAGCAAAGCGAAGGCAAGCACCACATTGGCGACTTCCTGCCCCCCGAGGAGCTCAAAAAGTTTATGGAGCAGTACGAGGCAAAGAAGAACAACAGGCAGCCGGATCTTAGCGACTACAAGGAGTACAAACTAAAGGAGGACAACATTGGCTTCCAAATGCTGCAAAAACTCGGATGGAAAGAGGGACAAGGCTTAGGACAGGACGGAGCTGGAATCGTAGACCCCGTCAACAAGTAGGTTACTCCCATTCTGTAAAACATCTCACTGTATAATGTGCCAACAGGGCACCGCAACGCGATGGAAACCAAGGACTTGGGGTCAGCAGCGCTGCCCAGCCAGAGGACTGCGACAATGAATATGACGCCTACAGGAAGCGCATGATGTTGGCCTATCGTTTTCGTCCAAACCCTTTGGTAAGTAATCTCTTGAAATTTCCAAGAGAAAATGGACGCAACTGATTGTATAGCTCTATCTTGTATATCTCTTATATCTAGTTAGTATATATATGACTTTATATTTATTTGCAGAACAATCCACGTCGCGCCTACTACTAGCACTACCTAAACTGATCACTCCGACACTATACCAATATCCTAGGTCCGCTTATTCAAGTGCAACTTTGCTGAATAAAATGTCCTTGTTTAAATTAAATAGCAGACGTCATTATATATTTTACGGGTTCGTTTATTCAGTAAGTAGTTCGTAATTAACTTAAATCTATTGCATGTGAAACAGGTCTTGAAATCGATCTGGATCCGTTTTAAAACAGTTAGAACTATGCCACACAAATCTTCACTAGGGACTACCGTCAAGCGTTTAGGAGTTCGATCGTACAAAAGAGTAAGTAAGTAGTGTGAGTCTCTTAGAACAAGAGTCTGGGCTCTGGAATTCCACACACATAGCAGAACTCCCAGTCCAGGGACTGTCTCGATTCTACTGGGAACTGGGTGGAACACCTAAACGCTAATAATACTAAGTTGTACTCGAACTGAAAGCAAGGCCTAGTCTAGGAGTAAAGCGTCAGCACAGGCGTCTGGTTGCCGCGCGCCAATGCCACCGGACACTTCATGTCCGACGTGAGCATCTCCAGCCAAGACATGTACAGCGGTGCTGAGATGGCCTCCTATAAATACGAATATGTTAGTGGTCAAGTTCGAGGTACCATTACCAAATGGCTCACCTTGCGCGGCATGGGCAGGGACATGACCACCAGAGAAGCGTTCGACGAGTGCTTTACCACCAGCTCATGGATACGCAGCTGGCGGTTCGTCTTCTCCGACATGCTCTGCAGCTCATCGTCTGTGATCCCGAACTCGTTGCGGGCTCCGCGGCGGAAGGGCTCGATCAGGCGTTTGTGCTTCAGCAGCGTGTCCGCCCGCGGCTGCTCGGAGACGCCCTTCAGCATAATGAGCTCCGAGTACTTGATGCGGAACTTGGTCAGCAAGCTGGCCATGCTGTGGGTTAAAATATGCCATTTATACTAACATATTGACTTATTTCGTAGTCGAGTGTATTTAACATTATTTTAAAAACCTAGTTTACAGATAAAACAAGAGAGAATGCTATAGTCGAGTTCCCCGACTATCAGATACCCATTACTCAGCTAGTGGAAGTGCAAACGAGAAATTTCAAAATTTTCTGGAATATCGGTAGAAAGTGGAGAAAAAATAATAACATGAAGAAAAACTTAAAATTTTTTAAACGTGTGGTCGTGAGAGTTTTCTGCGCTTTGTGGGCGTTAAAGTGAGCGTGGCAACATTTGGAAACAAACTTGCTCTGCGTCTCTGTCTATGGAAGCTGCATGCTTAATCTCAACATTCTAGCGTTTTCCTGAGATCGAGGCGTTCATACGGACAGACGGACATGGGCAGTTCGACTCGGCTATTGATCCTGATCAAGAATATATGTACTTTATATGGTCGGAAACGCTTGCTTCTGCCTGTTACATACTTTTCAACGAATCTAGTATACCCTTTTACTCCACGGTAACTATACCCGGAAATAGTGAAATCTAAAAATCTGAACATTTTTCAAAACTGTGGGCGCGAAAGTTTGGGCTTCGTCCCTAAATGGACTTTCGTCCAAAAAGAAACTAATTTTTGGAATGATCATCCTTTGTCTGCTTTCAGGCGGGATGGGTCTTCGGGTCCTTCGCTTTGAAAAGCACCGTTTGGGCAAGTTGGTCCTACGGAATTAGACAGGCGGTTGGAAGACGGGCTTTGAGCCATTGAGCTCACTTCGCTCAAATGGAACCCAAGCACACTTCGGCCTTTGCTTACCTCAGGGTCGGAATCGGGTCTTTTACCTATTACGTGGTGTTCTTAAAGTCTTACCTCTTCTCTTCCTGCTCCTCGTCCTTTCCGTGGCACATTGCGAACACCCTAAGCTTGCAGTTCTGCCAGTGGGAGCGCATGGAGATTATGTAGGGCAGGAGAATAGTGAGACCTATAACCCCAAGGAGTAGTTGATTAGATGCAAAGAGGCATTAAAACCAAGTACCCACCTCCGTCGTCGTACAGCCAGAAGACATCAATTGTGCCCTTGGGCTGTTTGCGAGTGAATATGGTCATGGCGTCCAGAAGGTTTTGGGGTATATCCGATCCGCCCTTGGTGTGGTAGGTGACGGCGGGCTCATCCGAGCTGGTCACCTTGTAGCTGCGGGGGTTGCGCTGCATGTTGGGCATCGGTGCTGGCTGCGGCATTGTGAACGAGGAGTTGGGACTGTCCATGCTGGCTAGGTTCAGGTTGGAGTCAATGTGTAGTAGCTCGGAGGCGGCATTGGCCGCCGGTATCAGTTCGTTGGTGAATCCGTGGGCATTGGCGGTGTGCATGTGGCCCATTCCGTTGGCCGGCAGAGTAACCTCGGAACTCAGCTCCGAGAAATCCAATCCGTTGGGCAGGCGGAGCAGGGCCACGCCCATGCGCTGAGAAAAGGCATTGCTACGGAAGACGTCGCGTTGGTCAGGCATCCAGTAACATGGTGGGAGAAAATCATCACTTACTACAAAATGGAAAAGTAACTCTCCACCTCCTCCTTGCGACAGCGGTTCCAGTCCGGCTTGTAGCCCACCAGCACAATGTTCGGAGACATCTTGCCGAATCCCGTTGACTTTGTCAGAGCATTTATTCCGTCCTCCAGGCTGAATCCATCAATCACATTGTAGAAGGCCTTGATCTTGCGCGCATCCAGGTACTTTTGTCCATCCTTCACCAGGTGCTGCCGGTTCTTGTAGCCCACTCGCACCTGCAAGGAAAGAACGTAACAGTGTTAAAGTGTTCCACGTACTGTATGTAGCTATAACAAATGTATTATCATGAAGCCAAAGTTCACCAATACTATCCTTAGTTTCCAGAACTCCATCGAATTTTAAAATTGTATTTGAAAAACGAGTTAATTTTTCATAATACTGAAACCCATTCACGTACCGGTATTATATTCGCCACGAACATGAGGGAGTTGTTCTTGGTCAGCAGGTAGCCAAAGTCCACGAGTGGCGGTCTGGTCTTGGGATCGCCGGAGAGCACCAGCACCTGAGGATGGTAGTTCTTCACGTGGTCCGAGACGTTCTGCAGTCGGTGGACAGCCATAAGAGCAGCCTTGTACTGCTGCGCCTGCGTGGTGGATCCCCAGTTGGCCTCCGGCTTGCGGTACATTACCACCAGATAGAGCGCGAAGATAATACCAAAGGTGATGATGGCGGCCACGTAGTTGATCAGGAACATGATGGCCACGCACATAGCGAACCCGAAGAGGCTGAGCCAGGCGTTGTAGTACTTGAAGGTAGGTCGCCATCCCAATGGCTTCACGAAGGCCGCGTGGAATGTGCAAAAGTTGATGAGGGCGTAGGAGGCCAGGTAGAAGGTGGAGATCAGAGGAGCAATCAGGTTGAGCTCTCCGATCAGCAGGAAGCCAGTGGTAATGAAGAAGGTCAGTACGTAGCCGCGGTACGGTTCCCCGTGCTTGCCGTACGGCTTCGAAAAGAAGATTAGACCTGGGTAGATCTGGTCAATGCCCAAGGCCTGGACCAGTCTGGGAACGGAGAGCAGGTTAGTCAGGGCCGTGCTCAACGTGGCCGCAAAGCAGCCGGCGTAGATTAGCGGTCCCCACAGCGACATCTCCTGCATCATCTCGTACGAGTTGAAGAGACCCCAGGTGCAGTTGCCTGCGGCCATGCACGGCAGCTCCGAGGCGACAATGGTGCCGTTGACAAGGTCAGCCGGTATACCGGAAGCATCCCTTACAGCAGCGCCGCCGGCGAAGAGGACGAAGAGGGCGTAGGAGGTCATGGAGATGAGCAGGGACCAGAAAGTGCCCTTCGGGATAGCTGCTCCGGCATCCTTGAGATCTCCACAGATATTGGCTCCTGCCTGGATGCCTGTTACGCTGGGGAAGAAGATGGCGAACACGCTGAAGAAGTCGTGGTTCACGCCCTCCGCATAGCGATAGTCCGAGCCGAAGTTCTCCTTAAGTGTGGCCCCTAATAAAGATAACCAGTTATGAGTCAATCACCATTTTAAACCCGTTTGAACTCACATGAAAAGCCCACGAAACCCCTCGAAATGTGCTCCTCATTGCCCTGTGGTCCGATGGCAGCTCCGATCAGGAAATTGAAGATGGCCAGGACAATCGTGACGATCAGGAAGTTCTGGGCCTTCGTCTCCCACTCCATACCCACGCAGCAGATCAGGATCAGCACCAGTACCGTCACCGATCCAACGATGCGGATGTCATTGATCCCGTTGTCGACAATCTTCAGGTCGTTGTTCTCTGGAAGTGAGTTGTTGAGAAATAAAAAATCATTTATCCGGAACTTAGTTTAGGCTATCCTTATTCTATTAGTCCAGTTTGGATAGTTAGTAATTCCAATTAACTACTCCTTTATGAATTTACTCATGTGATAATAGTTTCCTAGTTATTGCTAACTTTTGCGATTGGAAACCATTATTAATTTAATGCTCGATATAGATACAGTGACATTTAAAGCTGCCCAATTTAGGATAATCGCAGAGCCGCTGGGTGCACAAGTCAATTGATACTCACTCAGTAAGACATTTAGCGATTCGCAGAAGCCGATGGTGTTCATCGATGCCGAGACGGCGTTGGCGAAGGCGAAGACCACGCCCACCGACGCCCCAAACTCGGGGCCCAGCGAACGGGAAATGATGAAGTAGACCCCGCCGCCCTTGACCTCGCCGTTGGTGCTAATGGCTGACAGCGAGAGCGTCGTGATGACGCAGACCACCGCCGAGATCGTAATTATAATCAGCGACTGCAGGATGCCCGACTCGGCCACCACCCAGCTGAGGCGCAGGAAGAGCATGACGCCCCAGATGTTCAGGAGACAAGGTATCAGCACACCGACGATCCATCCCAGCTTGATGTGTCCGCCAGTGGCTTCCGGCTCGGCCTCGGGAATAGTGATGCTCTGCAAGGAGAAATGCTCTCATGATAATCAAGTTCTAATCAAGGTTGTCCTAATAAAACCTTTCATAAGTAAGCCACGTTTTATTAACTTTTCGCATAGGCCATGTTCAATCTAGCCGGCTAATGCCTTAGCAATACAGCAAAAAGGCCGCTAAATGCGGCTATTATTATTTGTCCGATAATGGGATCTTGACATCAGAAGCATTCAATTGAATGTGTGCTAAATATCTGATTGAATTGACTTCGGAATTTTGTAAACAGTTCACCCAACAGCTGTTCGGGTGCGATTTTATCCGGAATTACTCATACGACATGTGCGCAATTTAGTACTCGGATTCAATTAACGACCCGTCGACGCCAGCCGAAATACGAAAGCCGCAGCAACCAAAGGCGCAGCAACAACCAGATTATGAGCAGCTTCATATTGCCCTTCAATTGGCCATTCCAATTAAAGTTCACTTTTACAGCCGCACTAAAGTTGGAAACATTATGAAAATGTTCGCATAAAAGCTGAAACCACTGAGATGCCACCAAGCTAACTATTTATCGTAAGGCTTTCCTTTGTTCCAACAGGGTAGCAAATGCAGGAACAAAGACCTCATCCACATTAGCTGCGCCGAGTAATTGACAGCTATGTGTCAATTAAGCCCTACAGTGGCGTTTTTAGCTTGGCTCTTTGCTACCAAATAGAAAATTACGCGGGTTGCTGGAATCTTTTTAAGTACTTGCCATTTCATGCGACGCGGTGATTGTATCTCAAAATTATTTTGAAGCTTCTGAAAGCCCAGCTGAGCCTTTTATTATGTTAGGTTAGTATGTTGATCTTACATTTTCTATGAATCGCACTAAAACAAGAAAGCACGCAATAGGCGAGATACCCGACTATCAGATACCCGTCACTCACAAGCGGAAGTGCAAACGAGAAATTTTCTGGAGTATCGCAATGGAGAAAATGAAAAAAGCTTAAACATTTTTTAAAGTGTGGGCGTGACAGTTTTAAGCGTTAGAGTGGGCGTGGAAACAAGTTTTTTGGCAAATCCATAGAAGTATAGATAGATAGTATAGAAGTATAGCACAATCCCAAATCCCAATCAATCAAATTGAGAACATTCTTTTCGTTCAGCGCAACTGACTCGATTTTAATTAAATTAAATTTTTAAATAAAAGGCAAAAAGAGACCTTTTATGAATTTTTCTTGTGCCTGTGATAATTTAATAGATTTACCAAGACATTGCTCCCATGCCCTTGCCGGGTTATTGTTTTGCCATTTGTCGCACGGGGAATGGGGCTTATTTACTTTATTGTTTGCCCACATAATTGAGTGTTTTTAAAGCGCCACCAGTCGGACTCGCCTCACGTGGCATGTGGCGGTGGAGATGCGAGTCCTGTGGCAGGGTGGGTAGGGTGGGCAGGACGACATCGATTCGGGAGAGCACACAACCCCCAGCCCGTTCGCACACCCTGCGTATACGCAATGCTGGTTAGTTACGCTCCTCGGTAGGTGGTTAATGTTGATTGCTTACACATTTTTGGCGGCTTCAAGCGGACGCCAGCTCAGTCAGACGCAAACATAAACATTTGTACACTTCAATAAAATGACCCAATGTTGACGCGTGGACTTCATTTAGTTACGCGCATAACCAATAGATAACTCTCACAGATGCACATTAAAATGTTTTAAGAAGGCATTAGGATCTCGTTATAATTACTGTAATTACAGCGAAATATATTCTCCAAGTGTCCCCGCCCGCTGAAGGGTTTCCAAATCCTCTGGCGCTTCCTTGCTCTGTCCATTTCATTTCATTTCATTTCACTTTATTTAGCGGAAGACGCAGTTGGCTCTGCGGTTGTTTTCCCCATTTGAGTGTCTTTGCTGTTGTGGTCGATATGCGTGGAAAATTTTCGCACCCGAAATTGGAATCGGAATTGGAATTGGTATTTGTGCTATTTGCGCTATACGACAGGGGGAAGTGGGGGATAAGCCACTTTCTCGGATGGCTCGTGCCACTGATTTCAGCTTCGAAATAGACAAAAGGGAGACAAAATGATGAATGTGGGTCGGGATAAGCAATAAGGATGCGGCGGCCAAAGAGTATGTTCTCAGGTTCATAAATAGATGGAAATTAACTCAGCCGGCGGAAAATGATTATTAGCTTCAATTGAGCTAATAATGGCGACTAGGAGCTTGGGGTCCTAAAGTCCCCAAAGGCATCCTTAAGGCGCTGGATGTTTTCCTTGATTTAGAGTGAACTCACGGGGTCTGAACTGGAAATTTCAGCACAATTAGGCAAATGCGCAGAAAATCGATAAGGCCAAATGAGTTATCCAATAAATTTGAGAAAATGGCATTTTCCTCATTAAGAAGAGAGATTTTCCACAAGTTTTCCGCCCGAACAATATCGGCTAAGTATCAGAAATGCAACACAAATGGGGTAAACATATTGTTATATGCGCCGATAACTTAATGGCTTGTCCGGGGCAATGGCAATGCGGTAAACAAAGATTTTGCAGCAAGACTTTCTCATTAGGAAATCAATAAATGTTACAAAAATAGCAGCCAGCTCTTTGGCTGCGAATTGTAAATTAGAATTGTAATTACAAGTGCAATACCAATGGAATCCAAAATGGCAAATGCGCCACAGGCTGCCCCTTGATGATGCAAACAGTGGCAAACAGTGATGCAAACGCTCATACGCCCTGTTGAACGATAAAAGATTTTACAGATGGTATAGCTCGATAGTGCCACTCGGTTTGACAAATCACTTTTGCTTTGAGAGGTTCGATTTTAAAACTGCCAAGAACTGGAAATGGTTTTTGGGTGTCCGATTAATCTTGAGTGGGTTTTCTGTCAGCTTAATTGATTGAATGTAGGGAATAATCCACTGCTCGGCCGACGTTTATCAAAATGAAGTCTTGTCAGCGCTTTTGACAGGTTCAAGACTCGGCGTTTCTGGAGGGCACCAGAACCACCAGCCACCCCTCTATGATAAGAAGGGACGTCAATGGCAACAGCCACATCTGCAGGCCGTTGCTGTCAATTTTAATGGCGCGACACACTTGGTCTGCATTATCGCTACCCTCTGCTCGTCCACATCCCCATCCCCATCCATCCTGTGGCACACATGTGGTGGTGCTGACTATGGACGCCACCTAGTGAGCTGTTTACCCACGCTTGTAAGGCTCCGCGGCTCCTGCCCCCCGCTTCTTGAAACACTGTCCATGTGGCTGGCCCCTGCCAGATGCATGGCTGCATCTTGTTGACAATTAATTTGGCTTTGGCTTTGGCTTCGGCGCTGTCATCGATATCGCCATGCGCATTATGAGCCATGGATGGATGCAGAAAATCCACTTATCGTGTTGACTTAGCCTATGCCCAAGTTGTTCCCAAGGAAAGTTGAGCGAAAGGCAAAGAAAAGCAAATGTTCTTCGAGGTTTCGATCTCCTGAATCTCCGGAATTTAACGTTATTTACCCCAGCAGGGATGGAAGTTTAAGAACGTTAAATAATATAGAATAATTAATATACAAGTGGGCACTATACGACGAGGTGGCTATGGTTTTGGCAAGGAAACTGATTTAAAGCCTAAAAAGTTTTCAGCAGAATAGTTTCGTGCATTTGCCAAAACTTAATCATTTTTCTGCAATTTGCAAGTTTTATTGATTAACGCGTTAGATAGTATTGCTATCCATCTCCTAGGAGTCGTTTTGTAATTAGAAATCCCCTTGATGAGCCGTGGCTCGCTTGTAATGGAATTCTGACGATATCTGTCATACGCCGCGGTGGCCCGCAGAAGCCACGCAAAGTGAATTAATTGAACAACACAGAAACTATGTATATTGGGAGGAGGGATGTATATGTATGAGCTAGCTATAGACGCATCAAGTTTATTACCTCGGCGATAAACATAAAGAGCGTAACACTGGGAGCGATTAGAGGTAGCCTCCGGCCCTTTAATTCCACCTAAGCGATAAGCCAAGACGGACTGTGGGTGGTAGTGGGTATGGTCGGTTTGAGTAAGTGGTGGACATCGAGATGTGTGGGTTGCTGGTTATCTTGAGGGACCACAACGCCATGGCGGGAGAAGCGCCCAAATCTGTTGGCACAACACATCAATGGATGGGATGCCCGGAAGACGTCATGGAAAACTCTCAATTTGCACGTCGGAAATGTGAAAATTGCCCAAGTAAATAAATCAGGCAACGTATTAATGAATTTCAGATATAGAAATATTATGCCCGCGTGTAGATGGCCATGTTTCTGGGTTTTTTGTAGGCCAAAGTACGAGCGCAAATGGGGAGCCAGCGAGAAAACGTTTCCATTTCTGGCTGGATCCATATTTTTTACTCTGCTTCTGGTTCGCCTCATGCTGCCCAAGGTATTTTCGCTGTGCTTTGTTTATTTGCCGGGTACTTGAAATGTTTCCAGAACTGAGTAGGCCACGACTGAAGTGCGCTGCAAGGATTATGCCATGGTGAACAGAAAGCAGATCTCCGCGCACGACACTGCGGCGGATTGAGATACTCCACGATCACGGACGGCACTTTGGCCTATCACTAATCCCGACGGAGAACTGAGGAACGTTTCTATTTTCCGACCATTTCAAGTGCGTTCCAGGCCTCGGCGAAGTCCGATTGTTGGGCAAGGTCGAATGTTCATAGGCACAAGGCCATCAAACGCCTAGTCGATTGGGACTGATTACTACAACTAAAGGTTTCTACAGAGTTGTAATATGGAAACAACGTTTGTTTTATGGAACTCATAGTTTTAAATCAACCTTTTTTAGAAATAGTTTCACTTGCAATAACGTTCTTAATACCCATTTTATGTGCACTATATTTGTATGCTATGCAAATCGACTGTATAATCCGCTGCCAGAGACTGATTATGCAAACTGCTGGGCACTCGGACACGCTTACGTCAGGGACTCCAACTAGGGGTTTAAAGCTCACCTGATCGACCGCCTCTCCTTGCAGCTCGCCGATGGAAGGACGCTTCAGGTTGCGCATGGAAATGCGGTAGTTGTCCAGGCGCGGCAGACTCTCCCTGCAAGCAGATGGAAGAGAAGGAATCCGATTAGAGCAAGTCACTTTCGCGGAACGGTTGGGGTCCCTACTGGTGGAACGGAAGCAGCACTATCACCGCCTCGGGCAGCATGACCGCAGCCTGCAGCGTTCCAAACAGAAATACCCACTCCGCCGGATTCCAAGTGTAGGAACCAAGTTATTTGTGTATACACATTAATAATAAGACAATAAAATCGCCCCGCCGAGTGGTAAAGGTAGCCGGGCAGAAGGTCAGGGGCTCCATGCCGAAATCGAGAAAAATCAAGTTTTATCGGAAAATTCTTCTGCTCGGGGAGAGAGTATGCCATGATGTATATTTACTGATCGCCAACGAAAACAGAAGCAAAAGCAACAGCATTACCAGCTGAAGCCAAAGCAATGCCAAAATATAATTTAAAATCTTAAAAAGGCAAAAGCGAAATGAGGCAGGCTATAATCGCTGAGCACAGTACGGCGCCACGAGCGCCCAGAGGCGCCGATTCCAAGGGGCTCAAAGGGGCGCGCTGCATGGTGCGCGGCGCAGGAGTGACAGCCCCTTGGGGGATGCGCAAGTAACGATCGCATTACTCATACGCATCGTACTCTGAGTAACCAAACATTTCACAATTAAAATGTACATTAAGAAAGTGCACTGAAATGCAGGGGTGTGCCTTAAATATATTAAGGCAAGCCTAAGCAATGGACCATAAATTTGGATCGGTGTTGTATTGAATTCTTCATTATGGGATCCCCAATCTGCAGAAAATATATTTCTGAAACACCAAAACTCCTTTTACCATTTAGGAAATGTAAATTTAGTAAATTTGCCGACATACTTGTACGAAGTTTTGGTGTTGTATGGAAAAACAAGTTCCTTAGAAGTCTAGATTCTTTCGGAAATTTCGGAAATTCTCTAGATGCACTCTTACAGGGCTCCTTCTAGTGCACCCCCTTTCATTCGCCTTTTAGCACCCCTGATAAATCCCAGTAAAGTGCATGTATTTGCCCTACGTTTCGATCCCCATCGATTTTAGGTCGTCGCTCGGCCGGGAAAATTTATGAGTGTTTATTAATTATAGACAGAATCTCTGGAGGGCGTTTTTCATTGTACTACTAAATAAATTTCAAGCATTCGGCGCGGAGAATCGGACGTCTTGTGGCTTTCCTCCGATTCCATTTTCACTTCCAATTCATTTGCCAGACGCGGATATTGGGCATAAGATACAGATACATTCTGCGAATATATGTTTATGTACAGCATGTAAACACGGGACCGCATGCTCGATCATGGCGTATATGGAGTCCAGTCCATCGAGGGGCATTGATTGCTGGCCGGTTTCGTTGGGAATCAGCTGGTCCGAGTTAGTTCTACAATTGGAGCCGAGCAGAGTGGAGCAGAGTTCGATCAATTGAACTCATTTGCGCTCGCACTCCCCAAACGACAGGCCGTAAATTTATTTGTTGACTTGCTCATCCTCTAGAGAAAACCCGAGCTGACGGCTCCGGATCTCGCGGAGTGCGAGTGATCGCCATCTCCGCTAGCGATCCTTGGGCCAAAAACGGCTGACTTTGAGTGACCCGAACTGCTCAGCATTTCCATCAGTGATTTCAATATTATTTGGGCGGCTGATGTAACTTGCTCGCCGTGTGCAATTTTTCAGGAAAAACAAATCATCTGCTGTCTTTAAACCGGAGGTCTCCCATTTTTCGGACAGATCATTGGCAGCCTTTAATTGAATTTAATTCCAGCACGTGATTGCGAACAATAATTATCTTGGAGGGTTTGGACGGGGTCAATCGTTAATTTAGGCCAACAGCCAACTGTCATGTGGCAAATTTGAATAATCAAAATAGAAAAAATGTGAATTAATCCAGAAGTTAATTTGAAAGTGATCTGTGACCTCTTGGGCGTGTTGCTTGTTATTTTGAAAGAGTTTAAGGTCGGAGTGGTCGTTATGTACTCAAAATTATTCACATGAACTGTATATATTTAATACCAATTCCTCTTTTATCGCACAATTACCTTTTAATAGCAAGTGAAGCCCATTACCCGAACCTATCCCAATATTCTATAATAGGTGATAGTTAAACACCAATCTCTTTGTGGTATGAATATATACGTATAGGCTGCGATTCAACCTAGTGGATGTGGAGTGCATCAAGTGCATCCAGGGCCACATTACTCCAATTTCGGACGATGTTGCTCTTGATAAGATTTCGATCTGTTGTCAGTTTATGTGCTAAACGTGATTACAATAAATTAGCATAGTGTAACCTTCGCATCGGTTATACAAACGAAATATATTGGTTTCGTTTTTTGTGTATCAGACAATTTTGACGTGTTTTATTGTCTGTTTTAAGGCCCAGTACAATGGCATTTATTTATTGTGCACCGCAAACAGAAGCGGGCTGAGTTTAAACATGTGTTCGCACCTTAATTGAAACTCATTACGGAAAATAGAATTAATGATTAATTTGCTTTGGGAAAACTCTAGTTAATTGTTGTATTATTCCTAAATTGTATTAGACGCGAGTGAAGACCCCACGTGCGCGATAATGGATCGAAATAATTTATCGCAAGCAATGTATCAGCATCAGCTGAATCGCAAAAACTCTTATCTAGCGGGTAAATCCCCTCAATGGTTGTAATTATCAAAAATTCAACAACTTGTAAAGTCGGATGTGGAAAGGAAACCGCGCTTATCGCTGAGAAAACGAGAAAATGTATCTTGTGTTTTTTTAATTAAAATTTTAAATAAAAGGCGAACACAAAAAAAATAACTTCCAGAGCATACTGTTCGAAAATAATGTTTTCAAACTAGATATAGACTGTAAGATACTACTGAACTATTATTTCAGGTAAAAACCATATACGAAAACATAAAATAAATTATTAAGTTATAATTTTCCTGTATAATTTTCTAATTCATCCCGCAAAATATATTAATAGTTGTGAAACCTTTCCATCATGTTCGAAAATAATGTTTTCAAACTAGATATAGACTGTAAGATCAGAAGGGTTCCCGAACTATTATTTCACGTAAAAACCAGATGCGAAAACATCAAAAAAATTATTGAGTTATAAATTTTCTGTTCCAATTCATTCCGCAAAATATATTAATAGTTGTAAAACTTTTCCATCATTCTGCTTAATTTTTCTTTAGCGACACAGCTAATCTCAATAATAATATTGCTTTTGTAACTCCTTCTTGTAATTGAAAAACACTGATAAGTTTTAAATTATTAAAATAAAATGCATAGTTATATTATTAGTTTGCACTGACAAGAACCTAAGAATATGTTTATATTTCGCGTAATTTGAACCAACAACGAACTACCATTGATTGGAAACGACGTTCAGGTTTCCCCCGTGTCGACACACATTTGAAGCCAATCGCTCGCATTTTAGCCGGGAATGCGTTAAATTTGAATTCAACTTACTTTGTTAGCTGGGCGAGACTGAACTTGCGCTCGGCGTCCGACTTCCGCAGAAAGTTTCCGAATCCGCGGAAGGAGAGCCGGGAGCTGCGGCGGTTCTCGCCCGTTTCCCCCGGAGCCTTAGGGTGCAGGTGGTGCTCGTTGCTGGTCGGCGGAAGTGGGTGGGCTGCATCCGCCTGGTCGGATGGAGCTGATCCAGCTTCTCCATCGTAGCCGGCGTTCGCGGTGCCGTTCACCTTTGAGATCTGGAAGCGATCGGCCATGATGTGGCTCTGGGGAGTCCTTGCACTTGGTTGCTAACTGGACGCTGGACACGGATTCTTATCGATTGCACGGGCAACTTGTCGTAAGCTAACGAGCCGAGCACATTTGCATTTCACACACTTGGCAGGACGAGTGCTCCCTACTGGGAGTGGATGATATCACAGGGAGCGCGAATCGAAGGACCCGAGTTTCTACGTCCGACTGCGCTTGACCCTCAACGCCGATTGTCCGGATGTTCAGAACGCATCGACCACGTCGGGTTGTTTTGGGTGTTTCGGGTTTGGTTTCGGGTTGGGTTTCGGGCTCGCTTATATATGTGTCTGATTCTCGCGGAGAACACTCCGATATTTCATCCGTGGCAGCAGGCAATTGCAACTTATCGCGGCGACTGTCGCACGGCGTTTGAGCGTTGTCAAGTGTTTACCGCCCGATTATTATGGCTTTTTGCGCCAGTCAGCTGCTCCTCTGCTCCTCCGCTCCCCTGCTCCTCCGCTCCACTGCTCCGCTGCTTCCGCTGTGCTGCGGATTGGCAGCGGCTGCTTCAGTTCGAACCAACCTGACGCCCGCGTGGTGAGTTTCCAACAAGTGTTCGTGGCGAACTCAACACAAGAGCGCTCTCTCTGCGGAGCGACGAGGAGCACAGCGCGATTCGGGGAAGTACCATTGGCCAGAAGGTCCGTCGCGACGGCGGGATACCGCTCTTGAGAGCGTCCAGCGGGCGTATAAGCACTGGGCAAAATTACGCATACGCAGAAAGTAGTTCGCGGCTAGACACAGGGACAGAAAATTGTTTGTTTGGATCATTAACTGGATGATTTTGCGTAGAGAATATTATTTTATGGGATAATACTCATTCGAAACACATTTTTATAGCGATAAATTGTGCACAATGGGTAATATTTCGAACTTTTAGAATTTAGAAATTTGTGGATTATTAAAAAAGTACTTTCCGATGAGTATTTTATAAACACAATCCTTTTGGTTTGATATTAGGTCAAAACGCAAAACTAGCATAACAATTATAACAATGATTTTATATTTATTTTCTTAAAAATTTGCACAAATGTATCAGACTTTTTCGTTATCTCAACAGCTTGCAAATTTAAGCGTGTTCTGATAAGTGAAAAAATCAACGATTTTGCCCCATATTAACATTTTTGTTGTCGCCAACGCAAACGAGACTAGCGAATCCAATCTCATTATCGTCGTTCCATTTCAGTTGACTGTCATTTAAGCCACAGCTTAGACGCCTTTTAATAACTTTCTTTGTGCTATAACTGATATTTTCAATTTTAAAATATTAAAATTGTTTTTGTTTTTATTTACACGTATGTACGCCTTTATAAATCAAACTAAAATATGTATTCATTCAAATTCGTTCAACTTTTGTTCAATTTTGTTCCATAAATCATGGTCACTGACAAACTTCAACTAGCGTCGAAGGACCTCCGTTGCTGTGGTCCTAAGATTTGGCCACTTGATACAACACCATTTTGTCGCTTCGATTCGGCAAAGAGTTTAGCACCTTGGCACGTTCGTGGGTACGATTCGCTTGCGATTGCGGCTATTAACTTGTTTCGTTTGTTTACCCAATTCATACAATTCTCGCGACTCTCCACACTCATTCACAATCGTTCGCGCACTAAAACTTAGACACTCGTAACATCTTTACTATCAGCCAAGTCAAGTTAAGCCAGGCAGCAACAACAATCGGGCAAGAGCACGCGAATAACCCCCTTAATCGAATTAAATTCGGTTTTATCTGGTTTGATTGGCCGGCTGGCTGGATGACTGGATGGTTGGATAGCTGGCTGACTGGTTGACTGGTTGGTCGGGCTGCTTTTGCTCTGCGTCGCGGAGGGGGTTTCATGAAGAGCGGATCGCGGCGAAAAGAGTTATTTTTACTGAGCCAAGTGAAGGTTCCCTCCTCCGAACCATCCTCCGACATGCGAGGAACGGCTGAATCAACCTAATGACGTTCTCGTGTTCCCTCCGGTGCTAAATCTCATTGTGGGGTTTTACTTCTTGGCATAGTTTGCCCATCAACCTTCCAAAGTTTATTATGCAAAACATGCTTGAATATTGTTAATATCATAGTTACAGCTGGCTTGTTTCGGTAATTCAGAACATCTAATTATAAGCCCGAATTTTGTGACTCATTGTTTTTATATTCTACTGGGAAACCCCAAAGTGTTAAGCATTTTCAGTTGAGTGATTTTCGAATTAAAAATTCAGCACCCTCGATCGCACCTAACACGGTATAAACTAACCCTTTGATCACCACAAAGCTAAGCGCGAGCTAATTAGTTGATTACCCTTTATGACTGTTTGATATCACTTTTATTTTTGCTAATATTACGCAAGTAATTTACGATTCCTTAATTATCAAAATTTGTTTATTACTTTGCAAGCCATCACAGCCACAATTCGTTGAATATATTTTGAGCGAAACTGATTTTTATTACTTTGCGATACATTTTTCACACGTCTTCCAAATTCGTTTGCTCCGTTTATTAAAGTTTATTGTATGGATCGTTGGTACTTTGCGGTAGAGAATTTGTTTACCGTTCCATTGATTGAAAATGAATTCTTTAATGAATTTATAAAAAAGCTGAAGATTGAATGCAAAGATTCCGGAACGAACAAAAAAAAAAAAACATATCAAAGTCCACATCCGAAATTATCGTTATATATCTTAGAATCACTCGATCGTCAAAGTCATAGTTTATTTTTACAGATGTTTATCTAACAATCTTTCAATATCTATCCTGTAAATTTTTGTTTCTGGGTATCTTGCCAGAATAAGTTTTATTTGTTTATATTTGCGGATATAAAACTGCAATTGGCAATTAGACTTGTGTTTTTACACCCGTTACTCGTCGTTTAATAGGGTCTACCTGGTCTAATAGATTTTAGAATCTATTGTGATTTTGTGGGTTTTACAATGAATATAAAGAAATTTTTAATTTTTGAATAAATGGCTAGAAATTATGCGCTTAACTGTCTAGTATAACTATGATTATATCATGAGGTTTCAGCATTTCTTGAAAGCGCGAGATCTAATTATACCTTGTTTATGCGACTCACTAAAAAGTTATGTTGTTTTTTGGCTCAGGAGATGGCTGAAAGAAGGTAGCAGTTTATGGACACACGAATTAGTACTTTTCATGACACAAACGGCGTGAAAGTGCATTGCCTAAACACAGTATATAAATGTTTCGTGGAAAGTGTCAAATCGTTTCCGCATGAACAGATTTTTAAGAACAAATCAAACAAACTTCTATTGCGTAGGTGCCAGAAATACTGAGCTTCCGTCCTTTTAGACAGAAATACTTTTCGAGAAATCTATTATACCTTCTTCTCTACAAGCAACGGATAGAAAAATGAAGTGATGATGTGATTGACGAATCCAGAAACACCATTCACATTTGTATACCCAATATTTTCTAACACAGTAACGGGTACTGGATAGTCGCAGCACTGTTCTACAGCGTTCCTGCTTATTTTTATGGAGGTGCTGGCAATCAAAAGGGGCAATTAAACTCAAATTACCCTCAAATTGTTTTGGTCGTTTAGTAACTATGGCTTAGTTGACTATTGTTTGTTTTTCAATACGATTTTCGAACGCAAATATACATATTCTTGACTTCTTAGCTGTGCATGTATATTTGTAAATATTTTCTGCCTTAGGCAAAATTATCTGTGAACACTTACTTTATCGAGACTTAGACTATGGTCATGTGTGACATCTACCCCTATCCAGTTACAAGCGGCTTTGGTTAACCCTCAACTGCACTCATTAACACCTGCGCTTCTATTTGGACTACGGACGAACTGTATCTAATTGATCGAATAAACATCGCGATGCTCAGATAAATTGATTGTTTTACAGCTAAAATTAAATATTTAAGACTTGTCAAGCTGTTGTATAACAATATTGCGCTGCTAATTAATTCCAACCTATTGGGGGCCATATACGAGTGTAACCGCTTACATGGGGAGACGATAACGTCTCCCCAATGACAATTAAACTAGTCTGGGGTTCTTATTATGAAGAAGACACAAGACAAGCGAACATGCGCTATCGCAGTGGCCAGTGACATTATTTGACACTCGATTAATAATTGAATTAACTGCTTCATACCACTTTAAAAAGGTTTCTCTCGGATCGCGCGAAGGAAGCTTTGCACAAAGCGACAATAATCTAGATTTGATCGCCAGTTACCGGGTTTTCAAATACCTCTCCTTGGCGTCAATTGTTATTGATCGCCTTAGACCGCTTAACTCAAAGTTTTGATAAAGCGACTCGAGTCACGAGTGCATGTTATTATATATCAGTCTAAATAGGGTTACTATTTATCCTAGCCACATCCTTGTGGTTAACAAGGATGACGTCGAGCGTTGGATCAGAGTTCATATAGACATGTCCGTTTAAAAACCTCATTTTCCCCTGAAATATTGCCTATTTATTACGCCATTGCGCGTTGCACGTAAATCGTGATAGGTACGTATAGCTTAACAAGTTAAAATAGCAAATTATATTCACTTGTTCTCGAATTATTTAAATTATTAATAGCGAGAAAGCTCTGGGGAGATGGAATACAACTAGAGGAGTACGATCCCAATTGTTTTGATTGCAATGTGGTACAGCTGAAGAATTGAGTTGGTATTCAAGAAAATATAAATGAAGAGCTGTCAATTGCGACGAATGCTCGTTGGTACAGAGCTCTTTCCCCGCTGTTGACCGGTCACTACTCCTCGGAGCCCCTCTTAAATGTACAAACTGCAGTTATGCCCCCGATTTGGGGGTTTCACTCGATCTCCCATCGCCGGAGCGTAGTCATCACCAAACATTCGGCTCCGTCATGCCAAGGCAATATTAAGGGGCAGAACCGAACCGCTTCGTGGCAGTAACAACTTGTTCAGCGCCAGCCAGTCTCATTGTATCTGTCCGTCCAGACTGTCCGTCTGGAGTCCCAGAGATCGACCCGCGTATTTGCGATCGGGGTGCCGTCTTAAGTGCGACAATTGATGATAGACACACAGATACACATTCGCACTCGGATGGCAAATCATTTGCTATCAAAATTTAGTTGTAACAATTGTGGAAATTTATTAATTAGGCTCCGTATTAGGCAAGATTCCACTGATTGTGCAGTGTCGATATCATTTTATCATTTATCATTTCGTAATGCGGTCGCTTTCCAAGGTACCAAGAAGTTGTCCTAAATTCGCGTTGTTCTTTTATTCGCTCTTGACTGCAGGTAAGATAAATAAGTGCGAATAAGGGTCATCTCCAAAACGAAGCTCGGTGTGTATACTAAATTATTCAAGCCGTCGTCTTAAGAGTCAATATTTACACTGATTTATGGCAGGAATGTGCTGAGTTGTGGGCTAGTACACATATAAGTAAAGGCATCAGGGGTCATTACATTTCAACTAAAACGAAACGAACTTCAAAACTATTTGATAACTCAATAGTATCTGGCAAGCCCGTAAGCAATATTTGGTTTCTTAACCATCTTAGTTAAATTATAAGCAAGG